CTTCCTTAGGAGGATGTGCTGTCTTTTTTTAAAGGAAGCAAAGTACAAAAAGCCGTTGCTGAGAGGATGCTCTCTGAGCTTTGAACATGGTGCAGCCTCTCCTGGCTGGGCTTAAGGGGTTTGGCTGTGTTGCTGAGGGTGGGAGCACGGCTGTACCTGCAGGGCTCTGCCCCTGGCATTGCACCGTCCCTTCCCTAACACGCTGAGCCCTCTTCTCTCTGTGGTTTTTATTTTGAGTTGAGCGGTGAACCAAAGGCAGGACCTGCCAGCAGCTGTAGTCCCACACTAAATCACTGATTAACCGCAGCCGCCCGGCGCATGGGTTGTTTATTAAATGAGTCATGGCTAATTGTGATGACAGCTGTGTGGGGTCCCGGCCTGGCGTGGGCTCTGGGGCTGTGGGCTCTCATGGGATCAGGGCTGTGGCTGTCCTGCCCTGAGCACAGGGCTGTGAGCCCCAGCCCTCACTGTGCTGCTGCCAGGAAGGGCTCCTGCGTTGGGGTTCCGGCCCTGCATGGATGCAGCGTGGATCAGGACCAGCTTTGAAGTGAGATTATTTGCAATGGGTGTGTTTGGGTCTCTGTGCCAGGACGATTGCTGCTGAGATGTTCCAAGGCTCTCCCGATGCTGCTCTGCTCATGCAGCCCTCCCCGGGGGGAGGGAAGGGCTGCGGGTGCTGGGAGCTGCAGGGCAGCCTCGTGCTGCTCCAATGGCCCCCAGAGCCCCACAGGGCAGCACTGCTGGTGGGATCAGCTGGAATGGCTCCTTGGCCTCTTTCTCCTGCAGAGCTGCAGGGCAGCACTGAAGCACCTGAGCCTGTGGCTGTTGGAGGGGCTGTCTGTGCAGGACTTGTGCCCCAGTGATTGTTAATGGTAACTGGCAGATAGTTTGGGAAGCAGATGCTATTATTTTTTTTTTGAGAAGCTGGAAGAAACATGTCAGCGAGGGAGCAGCCGATGGTTTGCAGTCTTTGTAGTTGTCAGTGAGCACTGTGAGACCAGCAAGCGACAGGCTGGGTGTGGGTGTTGCTTATTAGGAAGAATTTCAGGTTGGCTATTAGGAACAAATTATTATCCAGAGAGCAGTCAGAACTGGCCCAGTCACCCAAGGTGCTCCAGAGCTGTGGGGATGTGACACTGGGGGATGTGGTCTGTGGGCATGGTGCTGGGGTTGGACTTATGGATCTGAGAGGTCTTTTCCAACCTTCGTGGTTCTGCGGTTGGCGTGGCCAGGTGAGGGATGCTCGTGTTGGGATGAGCAGTGTTCCTTGTGGCAGAAGCACAGGGTGAGGGCAGTTGGTGTGGAATTAGCCCCTGCACTGCCAGGACCCTCCTGTGGGGCTGTGCTGGGGCTGCTTGGCCCCATCCAGCTGAGCTGTGTGCTCCCTGTGGTGGGGAAGGAAGGGGCAGGCGGTGCGGTTCCTGTTGTCCAAGCGAGCATTAAATATAGATTATTAAGCAATTTTCTTCAGAGGAAGTGTAGCAACGCCGCTGCGAGCATGCACAGTGTTTTGGGCAGGGTGGGTGCTGACCCTGCTGTGCTGCATGCAGCCGGCCCCGCACTGTCCCCGTGCTTCTGCCCTGTGCAGCACAGCGGTAGGAACCCGGTGCTGCCCTGCAGGAGCTCTGCCTGCTGCCTCCATGTGCCACAGGGCCGGCATGGGGCTTTCCTTGTGCGGGGGGTGGAGTTGTGAAATCAGTTTCTACGTTCTATGAATTCCCTTCTGCAGTATTTCCACATGTCTTGGGGAGGGGCTTTGTGTTTAGGAAACAGGCACTCCAGTCCCCACGTGGTAGCAGAAGCCGCTTCCCAGAAGGACGATGTGGACGATTCCTCGGGATGGTGGGGGTGAGGAGGTGGCACTGGGGACAGCAGAGAGGGCGGAATGGGGGGCAGCACGGGGGACCCCCAGGCTGGAGGGCTGCTGCCCGCTGTGCTCTTGGCCTCTGTGAGCTTTGGAAGGAGCTCTGCAGGCAGAGATGAGCTGTTCACGACCTGCCCTTGGCAGCTGTGCCCCTGAGGATGCTGGCAGCCTTGCTGGCAGGACCTGGGCACACAGGACTTGGGCTGCTGGGAACGATGGCCGTGGCTGGGGATCCCTGCTGCTCCTGGCTGGGGCCACGTGCCCCACGCATAGCTTCTGTATACACGCAGGCTCTTCCCTGTCACTTGGAGCTCGCCGTAGCCTGCCACTGGGATGGGGCTGCTGCAGCCCTGCCAGCCTGCCCATGGCCCTGTCTTCTGCACTGCATCAGCAGAGTCACCGCCGTCTCCTTCCTTGTCACCCGTCCCCAGCTGCCTGCAGCTTTCTCCCATTCTGGCACCCTGTGTGAGCTGTAACCCTCTTCCAGGAAGGGCAGAGTTCTCAGGGAGTGGAGTGCTACTGTGGCTGTTCCCGTAAATGTTTTAGCTGGTAACCCTATATTGCAGTAACAAGCCAATACATCACTTTTTAAAGGGCATTTTATTTGGATTGCTTGTTGCCATAGTTACGCAGCTGGACCTCCAGCACGCAGTGCCTGTGCCTGCTTCCTGTCAACTTGGCTTTGCTAAGGAATTGCCGTGCTGCCATCAGCACAGCCTGTCCTGAACACCCGGGATGGGAATGGAGAAGGGAGAGGAACCTGCAGCAGATGAGGGAGAGCGTGGGGCAGGAGCTGTCCTTCCGCAGAGCAGGGAGAGGACAGACAGATGGAGAACTCTGGTGACTGTGGTTCTGCCATTGTTTTAGCACGGTGCACAGCTGATTGCACTGACCCATACTGGCAGCCCAGGTGCCTGCCTGGCTCAGGCAGTGCAGAGGGGTTGGGATGAGCTCCAGGTGACTCAGCAATGTGCAGTGCCTTTGCTGTTCAGAACTGCTCTTGTTCTCGGGTGAATGTTGCACTTGCTTTCTGATTGCTTCTGTTGTGCCAGAAAGAAGCCTTAAAGGAGAGGGGAGTCCTGCTGTGGCGCTGGATTTTATTGCTTTGGTCTGCCTGATGGCATACAAAAAGCATGGAAGCATGGCAGATTTTTGATGTGAGGACATGTGCTGGGTGCTTGCCTCACTCCTGGGGTCGTTGAAGAAGCTGTGTTTTGGCAGCTGGGGTTTACTTAGAGGTGCTGATGTGAGGAGCAGAGAGTACAGCCCTGCCCCACACTGCAGGGGTGTTTGTGAGCACAAGAAAGGTTCAGGTGCTGAGCAGCAGTGGGGTCGTGTGCCAGCATCTTCTGTGGGGAGCCTGCTGGCAGAATTTGGGTTTGGTGAAGCTGTGGCTGGGATGCCAGCGATGTCCTTGCTGGTGCTGGGTCTCCCTGCTGCTCTCTGACAATGGCCATGGCAGGACCAGCCCCCGGCGGTGCCCGGGTCCCCGGCCAGCTGCGCTGCTCAGCCTGTGGGCTTTTTCTGCCTTCGTGGTGGTTTTACCTCACTTTTTGGTCAACTGACAAAGCCAGACAGAGAAGTTGGAGGCAGAACGTGTGCAGCCCAGGTTTGACTCATGTGCGTGGGGAGCTGCGGGATTTTGCTCACGCATGAGGGAGGGCAGAAGTTTCTCTCCAGTTTTTGCAGGATTTTGTTTGCTCTCATGCCTGGGGAGAAAACAGGCCTGAGTCAACGCTTCCCTCCCAGCACGCTGCTGCAGTGCTTGTGCTCCTTACACAGGAGGAGTTTTCCCCAGAATTACGATGGGCAGTGGGATGTGAGGTGTGCCAATGGGGTCTGGGCCCCTGGGTGCTGCCCAGCTCTGTTTCTGACCAAGCTCACTGCTGTTTTTAGCAGCTGCTGCATCGCGGTGCCTTGGCTGTGTCACTCAGAGGGCGGCTGGGAGTGACTTTCCTTTATCACTGCAGCACTGGGGGTTATCTCCTCTCTTGGCCTCTCCCATGCCTATTTATAAGTGCTGCAGACCAGTGCAAAAACGTCTTGGGTTTGGGCTGCCCCTGCCCAGCCTGCAGTGAAGGGACAGCAGCCTTGGTCAGGGTGTCTGCAGCCCAAGTGTGGCCGGGGTCAGCGTGGAGCCAGCAGAGAGGAAATGACTCCTTGAGTCATTAGCGTCATCTCCTCGTTAACATCCTCCTCCTTACCATACCAGAGAAGCAGGAGGCTGTTCTGTGCCAGGCTGAAGCCTCCAAGCCTCCCTGGGGCAAAGCTGGGTGCTGTGCTGGGGGTGCTGCTGCACATCCTGGGCTGTGCAGGTGCTGCCCTCTGACAGTGTGGTGTCAGCATCTGATCCAGAGGGCTGGGGGCAAACCTAGCAAACCCCCTCACTCCTGGAGTATCCCCAACCACTGCACCCTGCTGTCCATTCCTCATTCCTCTGTGGTCCTGCTGCATTAGGAGCACGTTGTGCTGGGTGCAGCTCTGCTCTCAGGCTGAGTTGCAGGCAGGATTAACCCTGGGGATAGAAGCGGTGCTGGGAGAGCAGTTTTAGTGCTTGGATAAAGCTTTCAGCTCCCTCATCCCACCACAAAAGCAGAATGTTTGAATTCTTCCACAGCTCTCATTTGGTGTTCAGTGCCTGGGAGGAGCAGTGTGTGTGTGAACGCACATCTTCGTTCTCTGCCCAGAAAGGGAGAAGTTCCCTGGATGTTGAGAACACTGAATGAAATGCACGGGGAATTTAGCATGGTTGGAGTCCCTGTGCTGCTTCAAAACAAGTTCCTGTCAGGCCTGCAGCTTTGTGGTTCCTGGGGATGTGTGCAGGGTCATGGGGACGGTTCGAAAAGCCAATCCTGGATCCGCTCAGGTCATCTCGAGTAATAACTTAATAGGATTCAGCTCTTGGAGAGAGTCTGTGGCTTGTAAAACAGTCATTCTCTGCATTAGTGCCTGTAAGCAGAGCCGTGCTGCAGCCGGCTCGCTCTGTGGGCAGCGCGGGGCCGTGGGCCCTCAGCTCTGGTGCCTGCCTGCATGGGGGGCGGTTGGCTGCAACCCTCCCAGGGGGGCTGGTGGGTCCCTGTGTCGGGTCGTGCCGGTGCCCGTTCCCATGCTGACGTCTGCAATTCCCCTCTCACAGATCTGTCGTCGGCCAAACGCAAGTTTGCAGATTCCCTCAATGAATTTAAGTTCCGCTGCATCGGCGACGCTGAAACAGACGATGAGATCTGCATAGGTGAGAGCTGGAGGTGGGTTGGTGGGGGCTCTGATTGTGCTGCCAACCCCAAGCAGAGCAGTGCATGCACAGGGACAAACACAGACATGGGGGGACCCAGAGGTTCATCAGGGCCATTCCCTGCTTTCTGGAAGCGGTGCATTTCTCCTTGTTCATCAACTTCAGAGCCTTCGCTAGCAGAGCAGTTGTAGCTTCTCGCCTGAAATCTACCTCTGCCAGATAAGAAAGGAGGAAGACTGCCCATATCTGGAACCATCTAGATTATTATTTGCCCTTTCACGTGTGAGGGCAAGGATCTGGAGATGTAGTCGTGGCTGGAGGCACTGCCAGTGGCTGCGGTCTGCAGGAAGGGAGCGCAGCCTGGTTGCACGCCTTCAGGATGTCCAAGCAGCCACTGCAGGGCTGTAGGTGAGCACTCGGGGTGCTGCTCTGTGAGGGTCTGGCAGGGCTGCACCCAGCATCTCCCAGTGCTAGGGACCAGCTTCACCTGCTTTGTTCACTGTTACCCTGTTTCTGCCTGGGCTGGACTTTCAGAGTTCATTGTGCATGTATGTAGTATGGGGCCAGCAGAGCAAATGAGCTTTAGTCCTGATTTTCTTGCTGATTTGTGCTGGTCTCTGGGCCAAAATAGCTTTCTCATCCAAGTGAGGCTCTGTCTCAAGTGCATACACCGTGCCTGCTGCATTCGAGTGTTATTGCCCCGGACATTTGGCACAGGCCCCTTGCTCCTTTCTGCCCACAGCTGCCAGCCTGCCATAGGAGCTGCTGGGCAGCAGGAGCCAGCCTGAGCAGCAACGAGTGCTAGAAATGTGATGCTATGGCTACTTGGATGTTCAGAATTAAAAAAGAAAATGCTGTTAAATTCCAAAACTGTCCATGTGTCCCTTACAGCCAAGTCTCTGCAGGAGTTTGCCACAGTGCTGCGGAACCTGGAAGATGAGCGGATGCGGATGGTATGGCCTGGGAGTGGGGAGCCTGGGGATGGAGAGCGGGTCTGGTAGCAGCACTTCAGCTCCATTCTGGCCCCTAATCTGATGTGCAGCTGGAGGAGGGTGAAGTGTGTGGGTTCCAGTGGGCGGTGATGGCAGTGTGTAGGGAGGGATTCTCGTACAGCAGCCCCCGTGCTGGTGTGTCTGCGGGGGCTGAGCGGAGAGATGTGTCAGCAGCACAGCTCTCAGCTCTGAGTGGGACACGAAGTGCCCACATGCACGGTGCTGCCCAGCTGGGGACCACAGGGTGACTCTGTGTCCAACAGATTGAGAACGCCAGCGAGGTGCTGATCACACCGCTGGAGAAGTTCCGCAAGGAGCAGATCGGTGCTGCTAAGGTAGGTGGCTTTGGCCTCGCTTTGATGTTGGGTCTGTGAGCCTCTGCATGGCTTGGGGCAGAGCTCAGAGCTGCCTGGTGCTGTCTGGGACCTGGTGTGCCACAGGGACGGGCGCTGCTGGGCCTGGGTGTGGGAGGGACACAAGGACGATCTGGCTTACATAAAGTGCCTTGGTGTTTCCTGGTTCACCCTCAAGCAAGTAATGCACCATCATGAGCTGTTGACCAACAGATTTTTTTCTTCCTCCAAACCAGAATTAACGTTTTGCAAGGTGAATCCTTAGTCTCCGGATTCTCAGTCTCCTGAAACCTTCCAGTACTGCACTTGCCCAGCCCCAGTTTTGCCCAGCATTGGAGATCTGGGCACTGTCTGTCAGGGGGAACCTGGGAACACACCCATGTGTCCCAGGCTGCTGTGGGACAGCCTGTCCCTGCCCGCCTTTCTTTCCTGCCTTTGTTCTGGAATTCGAAGCACTGCCGTGGCTCTGCTGTTGTTATAACAACCTACTGCTGCCAGCAAGGAGCACGTGCCAGTGAGCTGGGCTGCTTGCATTGCAGTGCTGTGTCCTGTCCCAAGGTTGCTCTGGTTTGACTTGTGCAGCCAGAGGAGAAAAACCTCCAGGGAGATCCTACAGAAGCACCAGCTGTTGATGTGCTGGGTTCTGTCGGTGCACGGGGCAGGGCCTTGCTGCCTTGGAGGCACTGGTTGGATGTCCCCTGGCTGGGCAACCTGGGAGTGCAGCTCTGCACAACGCTGCTTTTAGTCCAGAAGTCAGCCCGGCTGTTCCCTCTGTGCCCTGGCACTGGTGTGTTTGGGGTTGCAGTGTTCTGGATGGCTGTCTGTGAGAGCTGAGAGCTCTGCACGTTGCAGAGGACTGCTGTCCTCCCCACAAGGGCTGTGGGCTGGGTGCTGCTGCCGATCCCTCTGCAGCACCTCGTGGCTGCCAGTCCAGCATCCATCAGTGCCTTGGAGCTGTGCATGGCTGGGTAATGAGAAGCAGATGAGGGAGCTGCTCCCTGCTGCTGCCTCCCTTCACTGTCCAACTTGGGCTCTTCAAAGCGTGTCTGCTCTGGGTGTGGCTTTGGGGCTGCTATCAGTTTTTGGAACAAACTTTAAACAAAGCCAGCTGCGTGGCCTTGCACGTGCATCTCTGAGCAGAGGGTTAAGGGCAGGAAGCTGAATGCTGGGCTGGGGGCTGTTGCCTGTGCTCCCATGTGGGTCCCATGGGCAATGTCCTCAGCATGCTGCTGGGTCTTCTCGGCTGTTGTGGTGCTGCTGGATCCAGGCTCACACTGTTTGTTCTGGTCTGCAGGATGCCAAAAAGAAATATGACAAGGAGACTGAGAAGTACTGTGGTGTCCTAGAAAAGCACTTAAACTTGTCTTCCAAGAAGAAGGAATCCCAGCTCCAGGAGGTGAGAGCAACCTCGAATTTTCAGTGTCTAGCAGTAACTGCATTGAGCTTTTTGAATATTTTCTGCATCTTCTAGCATTGGTTTTCTTGGCTATAAGCTACTTTTTTTCCTGTGCTGACTGTGAGTGGCAGGTTTTTCCCTCTTCCTTTAATCAAAGGGGACAGAGCTGTTTTGGTGAGTAAGTCAGAGAGATCCCAAAATGGATAGCAATCAAAAAGGATAGAGAGCTTGTAATTAAAGAGTGTAGCAGTAGGGGAACTGGTTCTGCTGCAGGCTTCTCATGTGCCATAACAAATCATGTATGTTTTTATTCTCCTTCTCTAGAAGTGGCTGCATTGGCTTTGAGCTTCGTGGGAAGAGTGATCAGGCTTAGTGCTTGTAAACTGCTTTAAGAGCCTGTTACTTGGGACGTAGTTTGCTGCTGTGCCAAATGCTCTTACTGGATGAGAACCCTGCACTTGCAATCACTTCTTCCATGTCTGGAATTCCTGAGCTGCCCAGGGCTGGGGCAGGCCCTGTACTTCTGGGCAGAGTGCTGGCACGTCACTGAGGGGTTGGTGGGCACAGTGGTGATCTCTGCACTGGGGCAGCTCAGGTGTTGTGGCCCAACTGTGTGCAGACCCCATCTGTCTCAAGAGAGCAGATGGGTATGGCTGTGGCAAAGAGTCAGCTTCCACCAAATCAGGGCTGGAGAGAGGTCTGCATCTGGACTGACGTGCCTGGCTGCCCTAGCAGGGATGTTCTGGGTCTGTGAGCACTTTGCTTCGTGGCAGCATGCCTACATCCCAGCAGGTGCAGAGCTCCACTCTTGTGGCTCTTCAGTAACCTTTTAAACCCATATTCTGGTTCATGTTTAAAATTCTATGGCGAGATACTGGAGTGGAAGGATTTCTTTGTGGAGAAGGAGCCACTTATGGCTGCAGCAGTGTTTTATAGGGCTGCGATGTCATGTCCTGCCCAGGGTAAGGGAGCAATCCAGGAGCCAGGGCAGCTGAGTGTGGGGTGCTGGTGTGCTGTACCACGCAGATGCTGTGTGTGGTGCTGTGCCATGCAGGATGCTGGCTGCATGTGCTGTGCTGTGCAACACGGGCTGCTGGTATGTTTAGCAGTGCTGGATGCTGGTGCCATCTGCTGGCATCTTCCACCCCACACTTTGACTTTTGCTACAAAAGCTGGAACCAGCTGCTGCTGCTCCTGGGTTCAGGAGTTGGGATCTTTCTCCCCTGAGACATTACAAAAAGCAGTTATGGCAGTTGTGCACAGGAAGGTTGCTGATGAAATGGTAATGCTTTAGGAAAACCAATGCCAGCTGATTATTAGCAGCCTGAAGCCCTCTTAGACACCCTGACAGCCAGAGAGGAGAGTTTATGTCAGGGTAGCTTGGTGTTTTATGTTTCCTAATCTCTTCCTGCTGTCCACATCTGGAAGGTAGTGGTGGCCACATGCATGACTGCTGCAGCAAAGCAAGAAGAGAAGGAAACCATGGGAATTCTCTGCTGCTTTGGCTGCTGACCATTTAAATAACACCCTGAGTCTAATCTGTTGTTTAACTCCTGGCAGAGTTCTTTTGTTGCATCATATTTAGTTGCTCAGTTTGCTGAAAACTCAGCCTCTTCACCACAGACACCCAGCACAAGTGCTGCAGGCAGGTCCTGGGGAAAATGTTCCGTTCTATGGCTGTGTCCTATGGAAAATCAGGAGTGAGCTGGGGAAGGAGGCGGGGGTGCCAGTGTTCCTTACCCTGCTGTCAGTGCAGCGGCTCTGCTCCAGCACACAGTGAGGCCCTTCTGTTGGGGAGTATCCTGATTTCTGCTCTCTTGTGCTTTCTCTTCCAAGCAGAGGGTGTGTGCTGTCCCCTGGCCTAGCACAGGAGCAGCCCTCACTGGTGGCATGGTGTGATGTTTGTCACTGCCTGGAGCCCATGGTGCTGCTGGCAGCCTCTCGATGCGCTGCTTTCCAGAAAGTGCAGAATTGCCTTTCATTGTCAAGTATGCAGCAACTTCTCCTTGCTCTCACTTGTAATTCGTGCTCTTCTACCCAGCTGTCAAGGAGGTGTGAACGTGAGTCATCAAAAACACTTTTTTTCAGCTGAAGAAGGAGCCTGTTAATGTGAATCAGTTTTCTATTTAATCACTGTGCCATCTGTCCAGCCCCAGACTGATGTCTGAAGCTGAGCTAGCATCCCACATGGACGCACTGCCATCAGCCCCTGCTGTCCCTGTGCCATGGGGCTGGCTGCTCCCAGCCACGCTGACCTCGTGTTTCCTCTTTCATCTCCTGGTGCCCGCAGGCAGACAGCCAGGTGGACCTGGTTCGGCAGCATTTCTACGAAGTCTCCCTGGAGTATGTCTTCAAGGTGCAAGAGGTCCAGGAGAGGAAGATGTTTGAGTTTGTGGAGCCTGTAAGTGAACACCCAGCCCTTTTCATCCCACAGAACTGCATTCCTGAGGGATGTGTTACTGTGTGAGGGCTGATGGGGAGCCAGGCTGGGGCACAGGGTGTCCCTGTTACTGTAGGACAGGTTTGGGGGCAGGGGCAGGAGATGTGCTTAGGAAAAACCCTTGGTGTGGGGCTCAGCCCCACACACGCAAAGCATTTCTTTGTACGTGCTGTGGGTATCTCTATTGTGATGGGCTGGGCCGTGGGGCCTGCTGACAGCTGCAAAGGGAGTGGCTTCAAATGGGGGGAAAAAATAGAATCCAGAGAGACTGTAACTTTCACAGGGGAAAAGAGTGCAGGATTGACGGAATGAGGAAAGAATTGAGTTTTCTAGGACCTGCCTTTTGCTCACTGCTAAGTGCTCTACTGCTCCTCTAGGAATCATAGAATGTCTTGGGTTGCACCCTAAGGATTGTCAAGTTCCAACCCTGCTGCCGCAGGCAGGGCTGCCAGCCACTAGATAAGTACTGGATCAGGCTGCCCAGGGCCCCATCCAGCCTGGCTTTTCTCACCTCCAGAGTTGGGGCATTCACAGCCTCTCCAGACCGCCTGTGCCAGCACCTTACCGCTCTCTCTATAAAGAACTTCCCCCTGACATCTAATCTAAATATTCCTTCCTTTAGTCTAAAACCATTCTCCCTTGACCTATTATTATCTACCCATGAAAAGTACATGGTAGATTCAAAACCTCCTCTGCTGTTTGCAAGGAGTCATTCCTTCTGAGTGAAGAATAACTCCAAGTTCAGAGAAGCATGACCAGGCTGTGACTGCCTGGCTTGGTGGCACATCTCAGCTCCCAGCGCAGCGTCAGTGATGTGGTGCACAGGGGCACAATGGGCAGAGTGGGGTGGATCTGGGTATCAGTTGGGTCACTGGGGTTGATTGAAGCAGGAGGACAAATAGGGCTGGAAGAGAGAGCTGCACTGACAGTCTTGATTTGTTTTGTCCCAACGCAGCTGCTGGCCTTTCTGCAGGGGCTTTTCACCTTCTACCACCACGGCTACGAGCTTGCAAAGGACTTCAGTGACTTCAAGACAGAGCTGACCATCAGCATCCAGAATGTAAGTGCTTGTGTTGCTGTGCCTGTCTGGCAGAGAAAACTCATACACACTTTGGTAGGTTTTAATTGAGATGGTTTCTCTCTTTGTGTGTGTGTGTGCCTTCAAGCAAAGGGGTTGACAGTGTAATTGAAGCAAATTCTTTGTTATAAATAACACTGTGCCACGCACACAGTCCAAGTGGCAGTTCTTCTGCACAGTGTCTCAGCCTTCCCATGGGTGCTGCAAGGTGTGTTCCTGTTTTGATTTGCAGACAAGGAATCGCTTTGAAGGAACGAGGTCGGAGGTTGAATCGCTGATGAAGAAGATGAAGGAGAATCCTCATGAGCACAAAAACATCAGTCCTTATACCATGGAGGGATATCTCTATGTCCAGGAGAAACGTAGGTGCTTAGGGCAATGCGGTGCATGGGTGCTGGGGGACACAGGACACAAAGGCAGATTTGTCAGAATGCAGAACGTGGGAGGGCACTGGCCCTGCGGTGGCATGAATCAGTGGCAGTGCTTGGCAGGAGTCTGCTTCCTCTTTTCCCTGAACGAAAAGGGGTAGCAATGCTTATGCCACCTATAAAGTACAACAACAATCATGGATAGAGAAACGTGTCGTTTTAAATGATGGTTGAACTTACAGCTTAATAATGGGTGCACATTGAAACTCTACAGGTTCTGGGGATAAAACCTGCGTTTGCTTTGCAGGTCACTTTGGGACCTCCTGGGTGAAGCATTACTGCACGTACCAGCGGGAATCCAAGCGGATAACGATGGTGCCATTTGACCAGAAATCTGGAGGAAAAGGGGTGAGTGTCACTGCAGAGCTGCAGGCTGCTCGGGCTGAGCCAACCTCAGCAGTGTGACACCAACACCAGCAGGTGGCTCACCTTCACTCCAGGCTGAGTGAGTGCCACATGGGGAATGAACTCTGCACCTTGCTCAAAAAAAAACCAACTTCAGCAGATGTTTGGAAGCTGTCCGCTGCCCTGGCAGCACTGCTGGTTTCCTGATTGTTTGGAGCCCCTCAGACACAGCTCTGTTTCATGCTCCAGCTCTCTGTTCCGGTGTCTGCATGCAGCTATTTGTAAGGAGAAGTTTACAGCAGCTGCCTCTAGTTACAGACCCACCTTTTTCCTCTTGTTTTAGATCTGTCCTTCATTTATTTCTATTTGTGAAAGGAGAAAGCTTTACAAACTGAAGCCTGTGCAGCTGCACGCTGGTCCTGCTCAGGTTGTCCTGACCACATGGGATGTGCAGCATGCTGAGCATCTTGTCTATGTGCTGGGTGCCCTGCAGTCTGTTAGTGCCAACCGGTGCACTGTTGGTGAAGCATAAAGAGATGGGGTCACCCAAGGCTCTGCCTGCTCTTGGCCTCTCGAGCACTCCTGGGGCTGCAGCTGGCATCGGATGGTGGTTCCAAAGCAGGGCAGTTCCTGAATACGGAGTGGTGAGCAGGCTGATGAGCTGCAGGGTGCAGGCAGCCCCCCCAGGAGCAGCCCTGCAGAGACCATTCAGATCTGTCTTCCTGGGTCCCTGCTGTGGCCCTAAATAGGTTTCCTGGAAAATGATGATGTCAGGGAACAGGATGGTCAGCCAAGGTGTCAGCTGGAACAGCACAGAGTGCACAGAAAAGTGGCTGTCTCCAGGAACTCGCTCAGAATTTGTCTTGTATTGAGTCATCAGGGGATTTTAAAAATTGCAGGAGAATTTTGTGTGCTGGCAGTCTGGGCAGGGGTTTCCTCCAGCAGAGGACGGCAGTGTGTGCAGATCCTTCCTGACCACTGCTCGTCATGGGGAAATCCAGTACAGCTTGGATGCAGATGCCTGGATGAGAGAATGCTTTTGTCATTGCTTTGTCAAATAATAAACATCTTAAGGCATACTTGCTCCTGTTGAGAGTTTTTGTGTGAAGAATGCTGCCAAATATGCAGCCAGTGCCGGAGTGAAAATTGACAGCCAAGGTTATGATGCATTGTTTAGAAATGGAAAATAAAACTTTACCCAAAAATTGTGGTCCAGCACTCCCTGCCTGCCTGAAACGTGGGTTGTATGATACTCAGTGCGTAAACGTAATCATCTGCATTCAGAAAGGATGGTTTCTTATTTTTGATCTAAGCATTTTGGACATATGTTAATGCATTTCTAGCAGGTGACAAGGGCTGATGTTGCCAAACAGCCCCTCTGGTTTGAACGCACTGGTTGGGGTGTGGGGGCAGGCAGGTATGGAGGGATTGTTCTCCTCCTCATCTGTGATTTTGTCTCTCCTCAGGGAGAGGATGAAGCTGTTATCCTGAAATCTTGCACACGACGGAAAACCGACTCCATTGAGAAGAGGTTCTGCTTTGATGTGGAAGCCGTGGATCGGTGAGTGCTGGGCAGGTGGCTTTCCTGGCTGCTGCTCGGGTGGATTTGGTGTTTGCCTTCTGCTCCCGTCACACCGTCTGTGGCTGGGAAGCGTTAGTCCATGGGAACAGCTTCCCCTGCTGTTCCTAGCCAGGTGCTTGCAGGATGTTGAGTCAGTGCTTCGTTTTACAAGGTACTGAATTTACTTTAGGCTCTCAGAACTTAATGGAGTTGTAGCGTTTTTGCAGACTCTGGGCATGTCAGGTAAACGGTCACAAGCATGGCGAAGTCGCTGCGTGTCTTTTGGGAGGAATGGGATGCCTCTTTCTGCGTGGGTTATGTGCTGAAAGAACTTCAGCTCTTGTGATGCTCTCCTATAGATGTCGATGATGGAAATCCAGCTTGCATCTTTGGGCACTCTGAATTCACATCTTTTTTCCTGAAGTTATAAAATGCTTCCTGGCCTGATTTTCCTTTGAGCAGCTGAACCAGACATACGTCTGGATTCAGTCTGTAGCGCTAGAAATGAGAGCCTTGTCACTGTGTTGAACTGGTATCTCACACGTGCTGTATACAAACAGGGGAACCAGGCTGAGCTGCTGTTCTGAGCAGCCTTTGTTGGTCACTGCCTCGTGTTTTCCTCTCTGCAGGAAGTTTATGTGCTTTACAAAAAGCCCTTTGCTGGCTGTAGTGTAAATACAAGGAGGTCTCCTCCGTAAAAACTCAAGTTCAGCAAAATCAAGGTGTTGGTGGTGCTGGCTGCATTTCCCAGGCATCTGTCCGATTCATCCGTGCCTGCCCAGCCCTTCGTGGTGGGGACACTGAGGAGCAGATGGGGTTGGATGGTTCTGTGGCTGCTGCTCGCCCTCTGTGGCTCTGCTTTCCTCCAGAAAGCTGCAGGATTTCTGCTGACGTTGGCATTTTTTTCCTCTGCCCTAAAGGGAAGTGTTGTTTTTTTTTTTTTAAATGTGAAAATCAAAATAAACCCGGGAGGAGGAGAAGCCAGCCACCACAATAGCTTTCTTCTGTAGTGCTTTCAGAGCCAGCCGAACCTCCCCTTGATGTCTGCAGCCTGCTGGGCACGGGATCAAGAGCTGCTCCAGAAATATGCCTGCTAAATGTAAATAATGGCAGGGGAGCGGCAACGTGGGGAAACCTGAGAAATTGCTCATTTCACATCCACGTTCCGATTCCCTGCCTGAGAGGGCTGTGAGAGCAGAAAGCAGAACTGACAGGCTGCTTTTCCCCAGCAGTCAGGCAGCTCTGCGTATTTTTGGTATCAAAATTTGTCCCGAGTGCTCCTGAGTAACAGCACCTTCTGAAACAGGTGAGCTGAGAGGAAGAGGAGGCAGAACTTTCTGCCAGCATCCACCCCATCTCTGACCCACTCTGGAGCTGTGCCTCCAGGGTGGAGGTGTGGCTGTGGGCTTTGCTGGAGACCCCCCACTCCTGGTTGAAACTTCCCATCAGCCGCCCATGTGAAGCAGCATGTTGAGGAATGGTTTTCATGCCAGCCCAGGACTGTGGGGGCTCGGCAGCATGTGGGTGCTGCCCCACAGCTGAGCTGTCAGGTGTGGGTGCTGCTAGTGTCAGATGGGTGCTGTGGGGTGCTGGGCATGTGGTTTGTACTGGTGGGGGTCACCAGGAGCTGGGATTGGATAAGGCTGCAGCCCCACTCCTCACACAGCCCCCGGCGATGGCGTGGCTCTCACTGGGGCTGCTGCAGCCGTGCCCGTTTTTGCAGCGTGGTTTGTGCTGTGGACTCTTTGTCGTGGTCTGCTTGTGTTTTAGTTTTGGCCTATGGACCTTTTGTTTTGTGTTTTTTTTTTTTTAATTGTCTCTGCTAATAAAGAAGTTAGAAACTTGATGTCTTGTTCTTCAGCCCCGCACAGGAAGTCTGGATGTGATTAAGGCAAACAGATCCCTGGGATGTTCCTCTGTGTCACATATGTGCTGTGTTTTGACTGTGAGCAGTTTTCCCTCTTTCTTTTCTATATGCAACTTAAAACTTACCATGGGGAGCATGTGAGTCTGTGCCCTGCCCAGGCTCTCAATGGGGCTTGTTTAATTGATGCTAAGCCGGCTGGGCACAGAGCAGCTTATCCCTGCTCTGTTGTGTCTGGATAGCGTGGCCCTCTGCTGCCATGGGCAGTGCTGTGGGTCAGGGTGACACTGCTGTGTGCTGCTGGAGGCTGTGCTGCACCTGTCTGTGGGGCTGAGGCCAGCGTGCCAAATGCAGCACACGCAGCCACGCACGCCTGTAAGTGCCCGAGCATTGCACGTTTCACTTCAGTGTTTTTATCTCCCGTTGCCATGAATTTTGAGTAGCTTTTCAAACTGTTGATCCCACTTTGGGAAGGTGCTTTAGGGCTCTGGGGGTGAAAGCAGGCTGTGGCTCAGCAGAGCCCTGCAGCCTGGAGGTGGCAGCCTTGGCTTTGCTTCCTTCGGTTGCGCTCAGCGGCACAGACCTGGGCTCTTGGTGTGCTGGGTGGGCATGCAGCAGGCTGGGGGCTCGGGCTGCTTTAAATAATTTCCAGAGAAGCTGCTGTGCGTTGGGGAGGATGTGATTTTCTCTGCCAAGGATGATTTGACGCCCCTGAACTGAACGTCTGAGCCTGGTCTGGTATTACAGCATTGTTTCCTCTTTGTACTGTCTGACAGGGAGTCCAAAATTCCCAATATTGAAGGCTGAAAACATGTGATAGAGGTGTTTTCTGGGGAGACTAAGAGCTCCCCAACCCTGCCTTTGCCAATAGTTCTGGGGCAGTTAGGAGTGTTGTAGCTCGTGGCTGAGAAGACACTAAATACTATATATATATATATATTTACTGTATATTTATATACTTTGTTATACCAAAACAGATCTCAGAATGGGGTTCCAGCATCTGGCTGAAATATTCCTTCATGTGATGGACAGTGTGGTTTGCTGGTAATGCCCTTTTTTCAAACTAAACTAATTTGGAGTCTCTGTGCATTAAGTCAGTTTTATAAACAAGGTAAGCAGGGATGACAGCCAGTGTCTTACCAAATAAGCCTCAGGAAGGGGAGGATCTTGTTTGGCTGATGACAAAGGCTTTGAAATTTAGGACAGTCTAGGTAGTTTCTCTGGGCCAGAAGCTAAGTGCCCCTAATACCAGTTGGCACTTATGGGAGTAGGAGGTATTCAGTGTGTGGGGTTTTGGTCCCTTAGTGACTGATGGGGGCAGGAACACTGCTGGTCCCGCTGTGCCCCGGAGCAGCTGGCATTGCTGCATGCCCTTCGCTCACCGGCTGCTTTTGGTGCCATGCAGCCATGTGTGTTCCATGGCTGGTGTCACATTTCCAGTGGCCTTTCAGACAAAGTAGTTCCTAGGGAGCTGCTGGAGCTGCACAGCCCAGGCTGCACGGCGAGCTGCCCTCTGCGACTGATGGAGGAGCGCATCTGCAGCATCGAAGGGGACAGCTTGCCTTGTAATGAGCAATGGGAGCTGAACTGGGAGCCCCCTTATTCCCTGCCTTCCTCATCCCCTTCCACATCTCCTGTGCTTCTCTGCTCGTAGTGGGGCTGGAAGCTTCCTGGCCCTCCAGCCCTGTTATTAATCCATCTTTAGGCTTTCTCATTCGGCAGTTTAGATTGTCTCGATGTGATAAGCTGTTGCAGGAGTTGAAAGTTCTTATCTATTTCTATTGCTTTCATTATTTGTTTGTTTTTCTGGAAGGAGCAGCAGCTAGGGGACTTTCTCATTTTCTCTGCACGCTTAGTCATAGCTCTTTAAACACAGGCTGTTTTTCACAAAAGCAGAGATATTGAGAAAATTCAAATTTCCTGTGTGGTCTCATATGGAAAAAATAGGTTTTAGATTGTAGCATATCGAAAATTTACTTTCTTGCAAAGTGTTTATCATGTTCTGCTCTGGTCTCATGCTCCTGCATCTCTTCAGTCCAGAAACTTTCCTTCCAATCACAACATTTCCCCATCACTCGCAGAAGAAGGCAGCAGGCTCTTGGTGCTGGGAGGTAAATGCCTGCTGCAGCTCCCAGCATGGGGTTGGCAGGTTTGTTATCTTTGGGCCACAGAAGTCAGTGTTGATGTTTTCACTCTTGCTGCTGGGGTGAGCAATGCCACTGGGGCACAGGGGAGAATCCTCTGCTGCGTGTGGCACATCAGGGCCACAGATGTTTGTGTGTTAGGTGAGGGAACAGAGATGGGCATGTCATGTTTATCTTCTGGGAGAGGAAGCCAGAGGAGGCCCTTCCCTGTCTCAGGCTCTATGCTGGATAGCTGAGATACCCACGATCTGGCGCACACATTTCTGGCAGCTGTTGATCTTTGAGGAAAGCCCTGACCGTGGGGCTGGCTGTAGATGGGGCTGAGGACAGCTTGGTGCTGCTGGGGTGGGTGGGATGCTGGCCCAGCCATCCCAACCTGAGTGCGTGGCACCCCGTGGGCACGGTCCCAATGAATAATGGATGAGGCATAATGTGTGGGGTGCATTTAGAATGCGTCACAGCCAGGAAGATGGTTGTGCTCGGGAAAGTGGTGCAATGGATGCTCTGGCAAATGAGCACTGTGGGAGGAAATGCAGAGCTGTTTGCAATGTAAATGGATTTTTAATTCGGGTTTGCAGCCCCTCCCTGCACGCTGGTAAGTTTGACTTTGAAGCGAAGCCCAAAGAGTTGTTATCGCTCAAAGGCAGAACAAACATTTTCACATTATCACTTCTGTCCTGTGCGTGGGGGAACCTGGCACAGGAGATATCTGCATTGTCTTTCTGGGACCTTGTCAATTCTCTTGGGGGCCAGTGTCAGGTTTACTCGAGTGAACAGTTTCAATGTGTTTGTGTTAATGTCTCACTGGAGACGGAGATCTCTATTTCCTTTGCCCTCCCTGTGTTGCTGGAGCTCCCCACCAGCCGGCCTGAGCTTGGGCTGAGCTGCCCACCACTCCCTGTGCCAAGGGGGAGGGAGCTGCCCCCAGCCCATCTCCAGCCCCTTGGCCCCTCAGCCCTTCTCCTGCTGCCCCTGTCTCCCCCAGGCCACGTTGTCTGCACAGCACTGAGCTTTGTTCCCTGTGCTGACAGCATTCGATGCTGGATGGTGAGCGTTTTCTCTCTCAAATGGGGTGATGGTTAAGTGGTTTCCTCTTCCCTTCGAAATAAGTAAACTTCCAAACCACTAAGCTGGTGAGTATGGACTGACTCACCAATAGGATTAGCGGAGATCAAATACATTATGTCTGATTTACTTGGGCCTGGATTTGTTGCAAGCCTGAGCATGCTGCTGCTGCTGCGAAGCTGTGCTGAGCTGCCTTGCGCGTGCTGCGAGTGAGCCCTGGGGTTGGCTGGCGAGGGGTTGTTCCTTTGTTCCTTCCCTTAAGTACCACAGCGATAGGAACAGGCCAAAACCACCACACTGAGCATCCCTGTTCATGCTGTCCTCTCTGACAGAGGATCAGCTCCTACCAAGAACTGAACAGCTTTTGTGCAGCGATCCTCTCCCGCAAGTTAGAAGCGAGCCCTCTTCCCAGGCCGTGGGGTTTTGCATTTAGTGGTCCAAAAGCAGGCAACTCCCGTGGCTCTCTGCCTCAGCCCTGCGTGTTTCCTGCTGCAGGGTTGGGGCAGCTGTGTTTTGCTGGGTTGGTAGCTCTCTCTGCTGCAATACTTTCTGAGGATGAACCCTGAAACCCCCCAAGCCTTGCTGCAGACAGCTCTGACAGCCGCTCCTGCTCATGCTGGATCCATGCCTGCGTCTTCCCTGTTGCCAGGGCTTCTGCCCGCTCTCCTCCTGCAGAAATAGCAGCTGCACTGTGCTAATGCATCTGAAAATAGCCTGGAATGAAACAGACCAGGCCAACTGAACAGAACAGAAAAACTCATTGGATTTGCCACCTCAGCTGTGTCACTGAGCCCCTGCGGGTCCCGGGGTGCTGAGGGGCAACCTGTGCTGCATGGTGTGCTGCAGCAGGAGCTGAAGGGTGCTCTGCTGTGCTCAGTCAGTCACGACTTTGGTGATGGAACAAGATAATTGAGTATTGGCTCCTGGTGTGGGAAGGGCAGAGCAAGGTTGCTTGGAAATGGTGGAGGTGATACTGGCCCTGCGGCAAGCACCAGGCTGGTTTTGTTCCCTGGGCCCCCCTGCTTTGCATGCCAGCACTTGGGCCTGTTCTTTCCCCTTCTCATTAAAATAAATAAGCAATCACGGAGTTGGTTTTAGCGTGTAGCTCGGGGGCTGTTGTGTGGGTAAGGGCAGGGTGAGGGGCACAGCAAGGTCACACTGATGTGAGCGTTTTGGGGACAAAAGTGTTGAAATTCCTGATGCAGCAGAAGGTCCCCCCTGGAGCTGGTGCTTGGGGCGGTGGGACGTGGGGTGCGGGGACACAGGGGTGTCCTGCTTGCTCAGCTGCCTTCCATGTCCATTATGTGGATGTGCTTTAGCCCAAAGGCAGGTGAGCTGTCTGGGGTGCAGCGTCACAGAGTGCCTGTCATACTGTAAAACCACTGCAAATGTGTGTTGATTATTGGAGATGCCTTCTGCTTTTTGGTCCTGGCTTGGACCTTCAGGGACTTCCCAGAGTGGTTAGGCTGGCATCAGCCACATCTTGCTGGGGCTTGGTGAGGAAGAAGATCATCATCTTTCTTTCTCTGTCTCTTACACAGGAACTTAATCTGTGTCTTCTTTTTGTCTTCTTTTTGTCTTCTTTTTGTCTTCTTTTTGTCTTCTTTTTGTCTTCTTTTTGTCTTCTTTTTGTCTTCTTTTCTGACCTGCAGCTTATTTATGGTATTCCCTTTCTCTCTGCAGGCCTGGCGTGATCACCATGCAGGCACTTTCAGAGGAGGACCGAAAGCTTTGGATGGAGGCAATGGACGGCCGGGAGCCGGTGAGCAGAAACATTGGTGCAAAAGTTTTGGAGAAGAGCATGGAGAGCTCTTTGTAGGCTGGGGCAGCTCGCTGGCCACGCAGCAGGCAGCCACGCAGCGCCTGCCAGCCGGCGCGGGAGCTGCATCGTGGGCAGAGCACGCCCCTGCCAAGAGAATAGTTTAATCCTTTGGTTAAATATTTGAGGTAATGCTGTATCTCCTGTGCTCGGATTGCTCGAAGGTGCGGTGGAAGGGAGGTGGGTAGGCTTGGCCAGCACAAACACGCTGCTGTGCTGAAAGGAAAACATGGCAAAAAGAGCAGTAGAAGAAAATACGCTGTAGATTTCCAGGGCTTTCTGAGTCTGCAACTCGTCTGGCAACCGTTTCTGGGTCTTACAAAGAACTGCAGATCTTGTGTGAGTGGAGGAGTGGAGCCCATTCCCAGTACTCAGTGATATTCTCCTTGATGCTGTGCTTGCTTCTGCTGTGCCGAAGCTGCACAGGCTGCCTTACTGCTGGGAGGGATTGTGGAGGCTTTTCAGAAAACTGATTTTTTTTTAATTTTGAACGCATATGCAGACTTTAATGCTGAGTTTTCTGAGCTTTGCTCTGTTCTGACTGAGCTGCCCCGGATGAGAGCTGCAGTGGGCTCTGTGTGTCAGTGGGATGGAGGTGGTCCCAGCCAGTGGTGGCAGTGCCACCATTGTAGAGCAGCCCATGGGTGCTGGGTGCAACACAATGTGTGCCTCTGCCTTGGTGTGCTCGGGAGCATGCAGGATGTGAAAATAAACTTTGCAGGCAGCTGGAGCCACGACAGAACCGTCTGTGTGTGTTTTTGGAGTAAATGTCTGCTGCTGGGCTGGAGCTGGGATCTGGCAGCCAGAGTTGGATCCACGTGGGAATCAGGGTGGCCCGGTCCAGCACAGCCCTGTGGCCTCAGGCTGGTGCTGATTTGAGCAGAGCTCTCCCCCTGCAATCTGCGGAAAGGTCCTTGTTTGTCAGAAAGCATTCTTTAAGGCCACGTGGACACGCACGGGGCTGAGCAGTGAGTGCTGGAAGGCACGTGCTGGGTGTAGTTGAGCAGCTTGCTTTTGAAACACCTGCAGTGATTCATACACCTGGATGGCTGTGTGCGTCTGAGTTGCTGTGCTGTATCTCAGATGAAGCATTTCATTCAGGATTTCAGCTGGGCTTCAGCCTGGAATCAGGGATTCACTTGGCAATTCAGGTGTGATGGGACTTCGGGAGATTTATGGTCCAGTCTTCTGCTCCAGGCAGGTTATTGAAGCCACCCGAGGAGGCAGACTTACTGCCCTATGGGGCACCAGCTCTGCTGCTTGGCCACCCTCAGTAGGAGAGTTTCTCCTATACCCATTCTGAACATCTCCAGTTCCAGCATGCACCTCTTGTCTGCCATCCTGCCATGCTCAGCTCTGAGCCTGGCTCTGCCTTGTGGTGCCTTGTTGGTGTGAGGGTTGCTCCCAGGTCCCTGTGATGCTGAATAAGTCCCTCCTCAAGCCAAGTGAAGCCCAGTTCCTAACAGGGCATGTGCTGCTGTGTGTAGCTTGGACCTACCACTGATGGTGGTCACACCTTTCTGCCACTCCCTTGAGTCATGTTATGCTTCTGGGACAGAAATGCACATTTATACCTGCAGACACACCATTTCCAAGAAGAGGAATTGTGAGAGATGCAAGCACAGAGGGCAGAAAAGAGGCTGAGTATGCTTTGCCTGCCCAGGACAACCCCTGCTGTCTTTCTATCATCAGCCTTGCTTGGCTGCTCCTTTGGCTCTTGAGCTGAGTGGCTTTTGGGGCAGCTGTGGTTGGAGGGCCCTCCTGTGTGAGGTTCACCAACCTCGCAGCTCCAGCACGCAGGCTGTCTTGTTCCTTCTAAAATGAACTTCTGTCTTGGGTCTGTGTGACACCCAGATGTGGGATAATATTTTCTGTTTCTTTGCTAATGAAAAGTGTTCTTGCTCGTGATTTGAATCAAAACTTGTTCTCCTTCAGCCTGCTCACCTCCTTCCCTCTGCCTCACCTCCGGTGAGAGATGTAGGTGATGGGACGTGAAACCCAGCCACCTGCAACTGGAGCTGCAGGAATACAATCATCCAGTTACATTTTGACCTGCTGATGTTATCAGCATTTGGCACAATAGTCAGCCAGTGTGGTAGGATAGGGCTGCAGAGGTATAGCCAAAGATTTTGAGTGTTTGTGAAGCGCTACGCATGCGAAAGGTTCTGTGAAGTAACAGATGCAGGACTGCCTGGATTAGCCTGTTCCAGAATCTGATCACGTTAACTCATTCAAAAAACCCACAGGTCTTCATGCTGCCGCCTGTGGATTTCTGTTATTCCCTGTCATGCCCATCAGCTTTGGGTAGCTTGCTCATCCAGCATGTCAAGGATTGTTGCTACTCATTGATGCAATACCTTCTGGCACTGAAGTGCTGTGGGTGCTTAAACCTGGCCTTCCAGGTGTGGTGTGGGAGCCATGGGAACGAAGCCTGGATGGAAATGGGTCCAAGAAGCATTTTTCTGTGTGTGCTGACAGACAGAGTAGCTCCTTGTCCTTGGTTATCCTCCTCGATCTGTCAAGTGGATTTCTGGATCTGTTTTGTTTGAATTCTGAATTCTTGCCTTGCAACGTAAGGGTGTGGGGTGTTACCTACGCTGCAGAGATTTCCTTGAGGGAGAGACAAGGATTTAATGTTTGAAATCTTAGAAGTATTCATTCTCTGCTTTGACTGTAATTCTATAACCAAAAAAAACCCTCATGGAAAGAATGTCTCGTTTTCCTTTGGTTTGAATATTGAGTGTGGGAAAGATGGACGTGGTGGGGATGGTAATTCCGTGTGCAAATTCAGGCTAAGGAGAGATTAAAGTGCAATGGAGTTTGTTTCTTAGTTATAATTAAAAAACTAAAACCAAATGTTGGATTGCATTGTAGGAAGATCTAAACATAGAATGTGGGCTACATTAGCTCAGACATTTGTCGCAACTTGAAAAGATTTATTATATCTCTCACAGTCAAAGCCGTCTCCAGATAGCAATCATCAGTCTGTTAACTCTTACCACTTGCTATTCATTTGGGTAAAACCCCTGTGCTGATTTTGGGTTTTCTTCTCTGTTACGGAGGCTGGAAGTAGGAGAAAATGCTAACTGTGTAACAGAGCAATTGCATTCGTCTTTGTTAAGATACTCAGGGTGAGTTTCCTGTGGTTTTTTCCCTCTGGTGATGGAGTTCGTAGAGTATGGTGGAGGCTGGAGTGATTCTGAAAGCCGACTGGGGGCTGAGTCAGAAATAAAGCTGTGCTGGCTCATAGTGGTGGCTGTGGTAGGCTGTAGGATTAAGAGAGACGCAAATTAGGCTGTTTGCTTTCTGTCAAAGAACTGAACAAGATAAGCATTTTAGTAAGGTTATGGCTTCGCTTGCCAAGTGCAGCAGGCGTGCCAGCCAAAAGAGATGACCATGTCAGCGGTTCCTGCTGTTACCTTGCAAGCAGGTCGGTAATCTTAGAAATCATTCTCACGTCAGTGCTGATGGAATTGGGATAGTGGTTTTGGAAGCTTTTGGGTCGCAAAAACATTTCTTCGGGCAAACAAACTTAGCAGAGGATTAAGGGCATGAAACGTGTTGAATAGTGTCCCAACTGAGCTGTGTCAATACGCTGTCCGTAGCCTTGATTTGTGATGGAGAAGGTAGTGTTAAATGGCCAATGCAACGTCCCGTGATCCTGTCAGAGGGAATGAGATTTGGATGAGAGCTGAGCTGCGCTGTTCTGGCACTCGCATCATGCTGCCCTTTGCTCGATTTGTTTTGTTTTGCTTTTCTTTTCTGTTCTTTGAGGCAGTGCAAGTCTATAAAAAATACAGCAAGCATTTTGTATGGGAGTTGGCTTTGTTTGCACTGTAAAGCTGAGGGCATCACTGGGGACGAACAGTCGGTTCCCACTTGGGCCTCCTGCTCTCATGAGGAGGTGAGGAGTGCAATGGAGGCACACCAGCACTTTTTCCTTTCCTTTTCTGTTCCCCTTTCCTTCTCTTCAGTTCTTCGTAGGTTTGCAAAGGTGGGAACAAAGTACAAATCCCTGGCAGGCTTTGGGAGGCTGAAGGCTGGTTGCTGAGGTCGGTGGGTTTCATTCCAGGTGACCCAGCAGTTGGATCCATTGCCTTGGAAGGGCGCTGCTCCTCTTGGCCCTCCTCCATCCCCCACAAATAAATACGGTTTCTGCTCCCGTTCTGGAATGCTATTGCAGAGCATCACCTCTGTGAGAACCTGAAACCTCCTCTTGGTTCCCCACGTACCCAGGTTCAGCAGCATCTGCAGCTCCGTGTGAGGACGCTGGGCTGCAGGGCCATCAAGCTGTGTGAAGCTGTCAGGCTTTGGGGACAGGTTACGTGGCAGCTGCGGCGCTGAGTTTTCTGCCTGCTGCTGGGACACCACACTCATGTTCCCAGCCGGGAGCTGGGCCTGGCTGGAGCTGCAGTGCTGTTTGTTTGTCAGCACTGGGAACCTGTGATGTTCAGAAGTGGTTACTTCTGGGTTAATGAAAGACTAGATGGCAAGAGCCACAAAACGCTCTTAATAGAGACACTTAAAGCCTCTCAGGCCTTCCCTGGGTAATGAAGGTCATCGCTGTAGGTCATCGCTTGGAGTTTGCGCCATGCCAGTGGCTTATTAGCCCAATGAAATTAGAAGCTTGTGAAGCCTGCGTGTCTGAGCGCCCACACCACACACGGGGCCTCGTCGCACAGGGCCGTGCGCTGCCGGGCGTCGCGGGTGCTGCGGCTCGTGCTCCGTGCAGGGCAAGCAGACACGGCTGTGGTCACGAAGAGCCCATTTCCCTTCCTGCAGCAGCCGGCAGGCGCTCCGCCTCCTGCTGACACACGAGGCTGGTGGCTGGCGGCAGCGCACCATGCCGAGTGCCCAGGGGCTCAATCTCACCAGGCTCTCCCCACTCCTTGTGTCCCTCGGTGCCACGGATGTGGGGACTGCACAAAATGGAGCGGGGTGGC